TGTGGCCCTTTATCTATTAAGGAACAAAAAATGTGTGAAAAATCGCCGTCTATAACGAAGGCGACGTATTAGATGACACTGTTGACGTTTCCGGGCTTATAATGAATTCAAATTCTTATGATGCTGTTTAATCACATGTCCCCGAGACATCGTCTTCCTTCGGAGGGAACAAATATAGATTTATTTGATTGGAGGGCTGCTTTGAATACACAACGACTGCATTTTGCAGCATTTACTAGGATATACGCCATGTCCAGATTGTTTTCTTGCTTTATTACCACAGAAGCAGAATCCTAAATATCTGGGTACCGCGGCTGCTATGAGTAGCTTGAAGAAACTGTGTTACTTCGATTTTTGAACTGCCTAGGGCAGGTAATTTTCACTCAATCTCGATACCCTATGAATAAAGGATCGATCGTATCGGCCAGTTCTGGATGTCTGAAGTTCGACACGGTTAGAATAAGAGGCCGAGGTCAGGCGGGTCTTTCTGGCAGGCACAGGCATCATGGAGGAGAGCTGTGAGGAGCAAAGCCCGTTGAGATAGCCGTAGACGAGAGCTAGATAGCCGACGGCGCTGCGAGAGCGTCCCGAAACTGTCCGTTAGGGAATAGTGATCGATCAGTCGGTTATTATTATATATGAATATAACGATAACTTAGATATGCTCGGTTTTCATAATAAGGAGTGTTTAAGCAAGTATATTTTTATGATAATGTAATAAATCATTCTTCTGAAGAGCTTCATTATCATCCTGCATACTATACATACATTCTAATTACATTATTTTACGAAATCTATTTAAAATAACAAATACAAAAATATACTAAGTGACGTATAAATCCGAACACCCAGTTTAAATGGTTTTATTTTAATAAAAGTTGGTGAATGTATTTATCTTACTGTAAATAACAAGTGAAAAAATTTTCAGCCTTATCAGTTGGACATTCAGGTTTTTATACTGCTTTTTTTTAATTCACTAACGCTCTAAAAATGAATATTTCAGCCGCAGTAAAGAATCAACGTTGGCGGATTTTGGTTCTTGACATCCTTTACGATCGGTTACGATGCCTAGAGTACGGAGACCTGTACGATTTCGTCAACTCAGTGAGTTTGATAGGGGCCGTACAGTGGGACTTCGGGAAGCTGGACTTTCTTTTCGGGCAATTGCAGTTAGAGTGCAAAGAAGTCTAGACACTGTGGTTAGGTGTTGGCAGGCATGGCTTCGAGAAGGCCGTACGCAAAGAGCAAGGGGCACTGGACGCCGCCGTAGAACAACAGACCGTGAAGATCGCCGCCTAAGATTATTGGCCTTAAGGGACCGTTTCTCCACTACCAGGTCCATTGCAAATGAATGGTTTGCAGAACACGGAAGACCTATTGGCATGCGAAGTGTTTACCGAGAAGTTTTGGCTTGTTTTCATACCGGCCACACTGGGTCCTTCCTCCCTTTAACTCGAGAACACCGACGTAATCGCCTTGAGTGGTGCAGACAACGGTCACTCTGGGATCAGGAATGGAACAGTATTGTCTTTAGTGACGAGTCTCGATTTTGTTTAGGCATGCACGATGGTCGTGCCAGGGTTAGAAGGCGACGTGGTGAAAGGAGGAATCCACAGTTTTTTGTTGAAAGACATGTTCATCACACTGTTGGAGTTATGGTTTGGGGTGCTATAGCTTATGGTGTAACGCTTCCTTTCCGCAAAAAGTCCAGAAAAGATGGAATGCAATGAAGATTCCAACTTTTCTGCACAATCACAGAAAGGGGGTTACCATTAGCTTCCGGTAGCTCAGTCGGTGGCATGAAGACATCTACAGGCGTGTAGCTGTGTGTCGACCATGGCATGGCTAGAGGATAGAAGAACAAACAGAACACAAAAATTTAACAGATTTTATTTAACAAAAAAAAAGGCATTTTCATTACACTACAATTTTACAAAAATAACAAAATAAGTTTTACATCTTTGGCGCTGCCATAACGCTATCGACTTATCTTTCGCTGGTCCATTTTTACTCGACTGAAGCCAGGATGGCCAGGGGCTTGAAGGGGAGGTCCCAGTTATGAGGGGTGACCTCCATATAGTGGCTTCACAACCAGTTGTAGGCGAAGTTAAAGGCGATGGCGCTGCCAAGGTACATGCATGGGTGAAAATATTGGCCAAGGCTAGGCAAAGTGAAAGGGAAAGAGAAAGGGGGTGGCCCCAATCTGAAAAAGAACCGTGTGCATTAGCAACGTGCCCTAATGGCCAAGGCATTTCCAATCTCAGTCTGCCTCAAAAGAGAACCAACGATTTTCTAGGTTAGAATTACATTATATAGTTTGATAAAATCAAACCGAAAATTGGAAATGCCTTTCATAAAATAAAATCATGAAATAGCAAAAAAAAGCGTAGAACAAGATGGTGGTCATCAAAAATTTCTCCACATGCTTCTGATATAAAAACATAATCATCGAATATTCATAATCAACGTACTTATAATTTCACTGAACTATGAATATATATACGCGCACAGAGGTAAAATCGATGTGGATCGATTTCCACCTCGATTTGATTAAAGTTATGGCGAATGATCGAAGTAGTCGAAAATGACGTTCGATGGATATTTTAAAATCGTACAAGAAATAAATCACTTACATATCGATTATCTATAAACTACAGGCAGATCCAGCAATAAAACTGTATAGCATTATAAAACTCACCATTTTTGTCCTATACGGACACACATTCTAGAAAATTTTAGCACATGGTGCTATATAACCTTGTGCTACTGAGAAGAAATTTCTAGCCGTTGTTCGATCGGCGGCTCAGGTGAAAAGAAAGCGCGAGGAAGATCGCAGATCAGGAACTCCGCATCAAGCGCTCCAAGCGGAAAATTTTCCAAGCAAAAAAGCTAGAGATGGGATTAATGAAATGATAATCGAGAAGTGATTTAATAAATACGATCGGACGGTGAAACCGTTACAATGGTTCCAGGTCACCTTTAATCTTCATCAGAGGTAACATGAACGCGCAGCGTTATATCCACGAAGTTCTAGAACCCCATCTTTTACCCTATCTTGACACCCTGGCAGATCCAACTTTCCAACAAGATAATGCCCGACCACATGTTGCAAGAGTCACAATAGACTTCTTTCAACATAATGATGTCACATTGTTACCATGGCCACCAAGATCTCCCGACTTATCCCCAATTGAGCACGGATATGATGGGTAGGAGATTGCTGAATTTGCAACGTCCTCCTCAGACTCTAGAAGCATTTCGAGAGTAGTTGGTGGTTGCCTGGAATGAGATACCACAGGAGGACATTGACCACCTGATCAGAAGCATGCCTAGGCGCGTTGGAGAATGCGTAGCACATCAGGGTGCATCCACACATTATTAAAGGTCAAAGGGCTTTAAAGCAGTGCAATCGTTTTGAAATTTTTATCATTTATTTATTATGCTTCATTAAGTACCTACTTATACAAAAAATTTTATTAAAATAAAACCATTTAAACTGGGTGTTCGGATTTATATGTCACTTAGTATAACTCTTATTGACACTTATTATGATACGCCACTGCCAATTATTGCATTATAGTAGTATAGTTTCCATTCTGCCGTTTGTGCAGCACGCATATGCGTCGATCTACAAACGTGCAGTCGGCCATCTTGGATGTAATTGTAATAAGTATTATGTATGTAAATGTAAATTTTTATCATTTACTTATTATGCTTCATTAAGTACTTATACAAAATTTTATTAAAATAAAACCATTTAAACTGGGTGTTCGGATTTATATGTCACTTAGTATAGTAAAACACTCAACAACAAAAGTCTGGCATGCACTGTATTAGTTACTTAATTTTAGAAAAATGGCATCAAAAGCGTGTAGGTTTTGACCACTATTTGGGCTTTTCGTGCAAAAAGATTTCTTCAGATTGCAGCAATGAGCGTGTCCGTATACGGCAGCCTCATTAGAGTTCTTGATGCGTACTTGTATGTACAACTACATATACAGTTGTAGTCACCGTTCTTGGCGGTTTGGTCATCAACGCCATATGAAATAAGTAAACAGATCGAGTCTCCGTACCGTGGGCAAAACACTGCGCAGATTAATCTTCAGAGCATCTGCTACTCTCTCCAGTACGCATGAAGTGGGTATCATTGGACCGATGTTTTCATTATCTTCCTGGAAATACTCTGATAAACTTAGCACGAGCTGTCGGCCTTCTCCATTGATCGTATTTCCTGACACTGTAACAATTGATAACAGGACAACTCGAATTGCACGCCGATGTCAAGTAAGTTGTCACTTTGACAAATATTATTTATTGCAGGCCATTCATACGTAACTGCAAAATTTTCGAGACACACAACTAAAAAACGTATGTCTTTGAGCTTACGAAAACAAACGTTCACCCACAGGGGTAGGTGCATGTGTATGTATAAGGGAGATGGGGATATATAAAGTGATACCGGTAGTCTTACTTTGATCCGCCAAGAACGGTGACGACAACTATATATAATATTAGTTCATAAAATCAAGAAACCTCATTGAATTAAACTCCAAGCATAACGCTTATATGTATAGTTAATATCGTGCTCACCTCGTATGTCGCTGCGCCGCCCGATACCTGCTTTTATTAGTCATTCCGATCGACTACCAACGATGCAATATTTATAACCCCATGGTGCAAAGGGTAGTACGACCGATACGCGATCCGATTAATTTTTTATGTTTTTTATCTTTCACTCTGCTGCCATTGGTCTGACTGTCAAAACTTACCAAGCTTTTTTGACCTTGTTTTAGTAATCACCTTTTGTACGCATTTCATCAAAATCCGAGCAGTATTTTACAAATTATTCACACCGACGGAATCGAGTGACATAGTTTTTCGTGATCATATAACATCCAAAAATCATAATATACCATTTTTGCAACTCTTCTTGATTACAATAGTATGAGGGATGTCTTTTAAGTTTTGCATATGGAAATAAAACAACACGGTAGGTAGTTTTAAATGACTTTATTGTTTTTCCACTCGTTTGCTGGCAGATCCAAAACGGCATTTTTGAAGGCGTCAACTGCTTCTTCTGGTGACTAGAACCTTTGACCACGCAGTCTGTTTTTAATTTTCGGAAAAATAAAGAAATCGTTAGGACTTAGATCGGGACCATATGGAGGATGGTCCAATAATTCCACGTTTTCTTCCGTTAAATACTGCCTTGTTTTTTGGGCTGTGTGCGAGCTTGCACTGTCTTGGTGGAGGATGATTCTTCTTTCGGGGTTGATTTTTCGATGCTCGGTGATGACGTTTGGCAAACAAATGGTGGTATACCAATCCGCAGTAACAGTGCTCATTAAGAGGAATTGTTGCAATATGACCCGCTTTTGATACAAATGTCGCGACCATCTTTTTCGAAACACTCCGAGAACGGATGACTTTTGCTGGCTTTTCTTCACCTTGGAACACCCAAACAGCCGACTGTCGTTTAATTTCTGGTTCATAACAGTAAATCCACGATTCATCACCACTAACAATGCTGTGCACATTTTTTGAGTTTCCGGAATTGAAACGCTCAAACGTTTCTTGACATCAATTAACCCTGGCTGCTTTCTGCTCTTCAGTCAACAGGTGGGGTATCCAACGAGAAACTAATTTTCTTACTCCTAATTCTTCATGTAAAATTTTTTGAATTGAGGTCTTTGAGATCTTCAAGGACGCCTCAATCTCGCGATATGTCACATGTCTATCTTCAATGATGAGTTTGCGCACAGCATCGACGTTTTCCTGGGTGACTGCCGTTTTTGGTGCACCCACCCTGGGATCGTCGCTAAAACTCACCCGTCCACGTTTGAATTCTCCATACCAACGGAAAAATGCCGACTGATGTGGCGCTTCTTTGCCGAAAACAGACAGTAACTCAGCAAGGCATTCTTGTTGCGATAATTGTCTCTGAAAGTTGTAATAAATTAGGGCGCTAAAATGTTCTCGGTTGAGTTCCATTTTTCTAGTGACTTGATGACACTTTAACATTCACTGTAGTGAGAACACTGCACGTATTGTTGTGTAACTTTGAATTTAAGTTTACTAAAGAGTGAGGTTAAGAGTCGGTACTGACGTTCGATCCGCGCGGCCTACTATGTTTTTATATGCAAAACTTAAAAGACATCCCTCGTATATGGGAAGTAATACAATACAAACACATCTTCATGTAATACCTCATGATCTACCAGTACCACTATTTCTTGTATTTTTCCTGTTTCGTAAGTCAATACAGCCGATGGCACCCCTGCGGCGTAAGATAGAAGTCCGTCGGCAACGAGTACTTGAGAGTATTAAAAGATAATCTGGAGGCTCAGGGTAAGAAATACGGTGCCGACCCTCTTTCCAGGAAATCCAGAATTCAGTATAATATAAATACCCTAAGTCAAACCGACCAGATTTCATTGATGCACCAATCTTCCCTATTACTCTTTCTCTGCCTAAAGTCTGTATCGGTGGTAGACAAAATTATCAAACCTCAGTGGCGGAACATATTTTTAGTACAATTGAGGCCTTCACTTGCCGTCTCCTTTATGAGGACGTCTTAATTTGTATAAAACCTCAGAACGTACTCCCCCAAAAATTATCACACAAACAAAAGCTTGATGGAATCGATTTCATTTCTGAAACCTACCCCGCAAAAGATGTACGCCCTCCACCAATGATATCGATGGCAGGCGCCAGAGAACCGTACCTCAGCATGGTGTTTCCTCCGATTTCAATGGTGACCCAGACGAATTTAAGAGGGCAACACTTTAAAAGTCAATTTATTATTGAAATGGTATGTTTCGTAAGAAATGACCTGCACCGCGAGTTCTCAGAATTCAGACCCGTGCTATGCGATGCCTTGCTGGACACATTGCACCGATGAATAAAATTTCTTTGAATCGAACTCGATAGCCAAACAAAAAATCAGTATCGCTTGAACATTGTCGTCATATTTATCCACACCTTTTTCATGGCGTGGTAGCTTTTACCTACATTTATTTATTTATTTATTTATTTATTTATATACAGTTTGGGGTGTTAACAGGTAAACCCAACACACACCCTCAGTGAACTAAAACTAAACTTACATAAAATATCGTATACATATACATACTCGTATATTACATTATTGAATACTTCAATATTAATATTTTTTTATCCTCCGATATTGTGTAACAACATAAACTGAGTGAGTAGTTCTAATTATAAGCAATAAACTATTAATTCAACTTTTTTAATAAAAGGAGTATACATAATTTAACATTTACTTACGTTTAATTGAAACTGAAATCAAAATTAAATTGAAATTATACCAGAAATGATATTGGAGGTGATAACTTGAGTTATGTAAAAAAATAAAACATTTCTATTTTAGTCTGCCATAGAGCTGTAATACTCATACTTTAAAGCCTTTTTCAGGAAGGTCAAGCTAATGTTAAATAAATCTATATTACAGAAATTATTATGATTTTTTTGAGCCCTGACCAAAGGGGAATTAAGACCAAGATTGGTTCTACGGAACGGTATTCTAAACAGATGATAGGTTCTAAACGTTCTATCAGGAGTGTTAAAGTTCAAGTTTGCCAAAAGATCCGGACAGTCAGTGAGGCCATTCAACAATTTATGGACACAGCAAATGTCAGAAATCGTTCTTCTATCTTTTGAGGAAATCATATTGAACTGTTTCATAATTTGCGTATAATGATGATCTGTAACAGGTTGGTGAGTTTTATGTGCTAACATCTTCAAAAATTTGTGTTGAATTCTTTCTATCCTGACTATATGTACATTGTAAGACGGATTCCATATTACTGATGCAAACATCAGTTTGTTGTGTATATAATAATAATAATAATAATAATAATAATGTTTATTGGAGTATTAATACATAATAGAATCAAAATACGAGCAAATAATATAACACAAAAAAAAATAATACTCCAAAGGGCTGGGGATTGGCATAGCCATTTTTCACCCCCGCCTGAATATCTATATATATATATACTAAGGTATATCTTATACATTAAATAAAGGATATTTGGTTGACTATAATAATGCTAACAAAACTTTAAAATATAATAAGATTAATAATGATATTTATTCAGCCACTTGTGGATTCATTAAATTGTAACTGTAATAGCATTCTTTTGAATTCTCTTTTGAAGCTGTGAATGGACGTTAATTTAAAGAAACTTGGGTAATCATTTAGTATACTGGGAGCTATGTAATAGAAACATTTTTTAAATTTTGAGGTAGTGTGGGCTGGTATATTATAACAATATTCATTACGGAGGATCAGTTGATGGAGTGAAGATCTTTTCTCTAATGTGTCAAAAAGATATTTCGGAGATTTATATTTTAAAACCCTAAATATAAGCGTAGTACAATGAAAGAAGCGTTTTTGGGTTCGTAAATTCTCTGCATGTCCTGTTTATGAACCCTAGTGTTCTATTTGCATCATTTACGATGTGCTCTACGTGGGTGATGAATGATAGTTTCTCATCAATGTATATCCCTAGGTCTTTTACTACATGAAGCTTTTCCAATTCTGCCGTCCCTATCTTATATCTGAAATCTGTAGTGTTCGCTATGTTTCTAGTAAGCCTCATGTAATGACATTTTGTTAAATTCAGGAAGATACTGTTTTCAGTGCAATACTTTTGCAGAGATTCCAAATCGCTTTGAAGTTTTACACCGTCATTTACATTTCTAACAATAGTAAATATCTTTAGATCATCAGCATATAACAAATATTTACTGAAATGAAAAACAGAAGTAAGGTTGTTCATATATATGTTAAATAACAATGGTCCTAAGTTACTACCTTGTGGTACGCCTGAAGTTACTAAGAATGTCTCCGAACGATACCCATTGGTAGTCACCACTTGTTTACGATTACTTATATACGATGCTAGCCACTGCCATAATGGACCATCTACACCCACCTCAGCAAGTCTCTCCATCAAGATAGAATGATCAATCTTGTCGAAAGCCTTACTGAAGTCGGTATAAATAACATCCACCTGCAGTTTCTCATCTATTGCGTGAGAGGCATATTCTATAAAACTCATCAAATTCGTCTCTACAGATCTTTTAGGGAAAAATCCATGCTGGTGTTCCGTAATGATATTTTTTGTAATGTTTAAGATAGCATCATAAATCAGCTTTTCAAAAATTTTTGAGTAAATACAAAGTTTAGTGAGAGGTCGATAATTTTCCACAAGATGTCTATCGCCTCCTTTATGAATAGGCAATATTTCACCTTCTTTCCATCTCGTTGGAAAGACTCTTTGAGTTAATGATAGTTTGAAAATTAGGTGAAGTGGTAAACATAAGCTAGCGGAATAGTTTTTTATAAATACAGAAGGTATGCCGTCAGGGCCTACTGATTTTTTAATTTCTAAGGACACTATTTGTTGATATATTTTTTCAATGGATATTAAGGTAACATCAATAGGACTAGCATCCTTGTTTAAATAAAAATGTTTAGATTTAACATATACACTTGCAAAGAAATCAGCAAAGGCATTACACACCCCACTTCCGGTTTTAACTTCATAGTTTGAATGATTTATAGAACTAGGTATAGAGACATGACATTTTTTCTTACTTGAAACGTATTTCCAAAAGTATCGGCTGTCGTTCAATATATTGTTTTCCATCATTGTTATGTATTCATCCAGGTTTTCCTTAATTAAGATTTTTGATTTAGCTCTAAGGTCACAGAATATCTGATATGAGTATGGATCATTAAAACGTTTGTATAGTCTATGATACTTATTTTTTCTCTTAACTGTTTGTATTGTTTCAAGTTTAAAGTATATTGGGTCTTTTCCTCGAATTTTATATGTTGGTGTAAATTTGTGAATAGTTTCATTGAGTATGTTATAGAATATGGCTACAGCTTCATCTACAGATTTGGTACTAAATAATTTTTCCCATTCTATGTCTAAAAGAGTATTATTTATGGAAGTATAGTCAGCTTTATTAAAGTTGTAAAGGCATCGGCTCTGGTGCATTAATGGCTTAAGTAAAACATGCTTAAAACAAAATGTAATTGCAGGATGGTGATTATCCTCAGGAACCAATATGTCAACCGAATACGAAATATTATATATTGAACATTCGTTACTAAGTATCAAGTCTAATAAACGGTTATTTGAATTGTAAATTTTATTAAATTGCATTGACTGTAGATACGACAATATGTCAAGTAAGGCACTCGTTTTCTCTTCAACATTAAGTGGCTCCATAAAATGTTCATGAAGTATTGGTTGCCAATTGACACTTGGAAGATTAAAGTCACCAACCAACAACACCGTATTTTGTCGAAAAAAACCTTCATTCTGGTATAATTTGCTTACAACTGAGGCATATGAAATACTATCCTTAGGTGGTAAATATATACAGCTTATAAATAATTTGGTACCGTTGATATGTTCGATTGATACCCAAAGATCTTCAGCATCAGATTCGAGTTCACAACAGCGTTTTGAGTTGAAAACATTTTTTACCGCGATTAACACACCACCACCATCACTTTTTTGTGAACATGAACTCTCACGATATCTTCTAAATACTGTGTAATCCGCTCCAAATAATTCGCTGCTGCATACACCATCTTTGAGCCACGTCTCTGTCAGGCATATTATGTCATAATCACTTGCACGAACATTATTAAAGAACTCCGTTGTTTTAGATCGTAGTCCTCTTGTATTTTGGTAGTAGATGATTAGGTCCTGACATTTGTTATCCATCTTAACGTATAGTCAACGCCAAACAAAGTGGCGTGCACGTCATCACGATAAAAATTCCCCGACCTAATGCCTAGGTTTCTATCACAAGCAATTGCTCTATTGCAGTTTCATATTAATGTGATGTATAAATTGTAAAATGGTCATTACTCTCTTATTATGGTTAATAGTCATATAAACATTGTTATTAAAATATCACATAAGTTGCTTTCTGATAAATTTAGCCGCATTATGCGAAATAAAATGTTTTGCAAACGCTCCAATCACTTATCGACATGTAAACGCACTAAACCGATTTCGCAGCGTTGACACAT